GCACGCAATTGTTGAATGAACGGGAAAACGATTGTTCTCAGTTATATTCCAATGCTATGCAGTTGAAATGGGTAGGCGAGACAGATGGAGTATCAACTACTATTTTAATAATAAATGAAATCTTCAACCTTTTTTATTAGAGCTATTAAGACATGTACGAAAAATTGAATGTAAAAATAGCGTAGGAAAACAACTGCATCAATCCTAGAAGTTTCTCACGATAGAATCCCAAGAAATACACTAGCATACATTTTAGTAGAGCGAATTTGGGACTCTAAATACTAGAAGTGAATATCTAAACCAATTTAGGATCACTGTCGTCAATAAATATCTGTTGCTTTCCTTGTAAATTATTCTCATCAATAAGAATGAAATTCAAAATTTTGTTGCTTTTACCTCTGCTTTGTTGCTCGTTTAATTTCGCGAGCCTTACATCCCAACGTGATTGCTCATAAAAACCCAGTTGAAGCAAATTACCAGTCTCATACAATGAGTGCAGCTGAGCTTTATCTTCGTCATTCACTTGGCTATCATAAAAATTCATATAAGTCAAAGTATCATTTACTTTTGAAGCATGATAGAGTGCATCAATTAATTTTTGTGAGACCACAGATTCAGATATACAGAGACGTGAAATAAAGCTATAATCGGTTAACGATTTAATTAAATAGGTTTCTTTTTTATTCGATGGCTGTATATCTTTAATGTGTAAGCTAAGATACTTCTTGGGCTTCGATTCTCTTAAGATGTCCAAAAGTTTAATAACAAAAGTTTCTTCCTTAAATCCAATATGATCCATCAAGTCGATTTCAACAAACGTTGTATTTTTCGTCAGCATTTCCCAGAACGGAGGTAGAATTGAGGAAATCCACAATCCCTGAGTCAATTTTAATTGATGCAATACGTTTGTTCTCAAGTTAAGTATAGTATTGAGGATAGCGATATTCGTGAAGTACTGTACAATTAGTTCTGTCACAACTCCATTTGTTTGGAGACACTGCTGAATGTCAGATTCATGCCCAAGAAAGTCACACGCAGAAATATTCAATGTTCGATGTATCTTATTTCGTAGTAAAATCAGACCTAGTATAGATGTATTTTCATTATGCGTACCGTTGAAACGAACTTTTAATGATTGATTTTTGAATTCTACGACCATATTTTTACAAGTATATTTTACCCCACCAAAAAACTTGGTAACAGTAACAGCGGTCATGTTCAGACAACGAATTGAAGAACGGTTGATGATTGTATCAAGTAATGTTTCGAGATAACCTTCATAGAACGAACAATCTTGAAAAACTAGTTTTACAATATTAAATCCTTTCGTCAGAGCACCACATATCATCTTAACGTTTCTCTCAGTCACATTCACTCCAATTACAACTGCTTCTTTGGTCTTTCGATCGAATTTTCCGCCCATGACGTTGAAATCATTAATGTTGCTACTCATGTTATCATTAAAACTAATTCCATCACAGTGTTCAGAACAGATCCAGCGAACATGGCCATCATCAGTAGTTATAGGGTCTAAATTTCCCAGGCTTTCCTCATTGTCAACAAGCTCAAGATACGTTAGAATTTCTCGTAAATCAGTACCTCGCCGTGATGCTTGCTTGCCGTCGATTTGATTTACTAAGATATCAACAAATTTTAATCGTTGCTCCATGTCTTGGCGATACTCAGGCGTATTCGTTTCCAATGGTACTGTATTATTGTTAGCGATTGGCACATTTTCTAGTTGTGGAATAACAAGATTTCCAGCCGAGAGTAGCAGTTGTGCAATTTTCAACGTCGGCTTTAAATAAGATTCATATCTTCGAATGAATTCTTTCGAATTTTTAATGGAATAGCCACCACGGGGTGCAACATGCATTCTAGTTGGTTCGTGTGAACATTCACATAGAAAATAGAGCTTATAATGTTTTATCGACGCCACCTCATATCCTTTCACGGGCAAGATAAAAAAACAGCGTGGAGTGGTGAATTCATCCAGTGCGTATAACAACTTCAAATAGTTCTTAAGTTGTTTTGTTATATCTTCTATGGTAGGACCTAGAAAGCCACGAGTATCATAATTAGAAAACATATTGAAAAGTAATTCTGATAAATTATTATAATAGTTCTATTGACGACGAGCGTTGCCATTAAGGATGCCAATGGCAAAAAATAAATTAGCAAGCATATATCTTCTATGTCTGTTTAACTTTCTATATTTGAGGAATCAAATTTAAAACATCAGAGTAAGCCAGAAAGCTTGGAAAAATCCTTTTTTTGGAAAATAATTTTTATTTTCGTCATCTCCACTCGTATTAAAAGCAAATAAAGAAACGGAAAAGCTCTGTTATTGTTCAAAAAATCAGTACAAATATGAAACCGATCACATGATCGAATGAGGAATCTATAGCTATTCCTCTACTTTTGAACATGCAGAACGTCAACATATCATTTAAAGTCTTACTAAGCACAAATATTTTCTACGAATAACAATATCAAAATTATTCAAGAGAGGCAAGCGTTCATGAAAGCTCTAAGTATATTATCACTTGATACGAAACAAGAAAAATATTAAAATTTTCTTTTTCTCCAATTCAGAAGTGTCAATTATCAAATGTAATTATAGTTGTTTGTGATTCTCTAATAAAATATATGGTGCCTATAGAATACATATGTCTCTTAACGAATCGTGACGAAGATATAGATAGTTATATTTTAGTCGATTCGATTTGACCACTACATTTGTAAACTGATGAAAACCAAACTTCGTTATTATTCTTTCTATCACCGTTAGATTTTTCTTTTCTTTGGTCAATGTTAAATGTATCGAAGTCTAGATGCTTTTCCCTAGGTTTTTATTCATATCATTTTACACAATTCTCAATGCTTATCCATAGTAAGCTGAAGCTACGGTCACATGTCGAGTAAATCAAAATTTGAAGAGAATTTATACAAAAGCGAAGTAAATAGACCGATAATAGAGAATCCATACATCTTGCACATCTTAAAGAAATCATTTTAGTTGATGAATGTTGGAAAATAGTTTTTCATTCTAAGAATTCTACAGACGATAAAAACGAAAGATAATTTAAATTCTAATTAAAATATTTTTGTTTGGAAATATTCAATTCAAAATTTCATGATATAGATCGAATTCTGGATCAGTTCTTCGTCGAGACAGAGAGTTCAGAGAATAGTTCACTTAGATGGGTGTGCTCTGAAGAAAAGAAAATCTAAACGACGATATTTAAGGAAGAGAAAAATAGTAAGGTTTTTATTTTTCAAAATTAATATCTAAAAATCCATTTGAGAACTTTCATTGATAGAATAAGAATATGTAGATTGAGCGAAGTTTCCCTCGAAATAATTATATTTAGCAACAGGCAAAATGAAGAGATCTCAAGTGCTAGATAATAAATTAATATCTTACAGAAATGACATAAAAAAATGGATGTTTTCGGAAACCAGTTCTTTTTCTTTTGTTTTATGGACAAAATGTGCACAAGATTATTTTTCGAACAGAAGATATTGCAGATCCTTCAATGGTACACTCTTAATGATTATATCACGACATTTTCCTTTAGACTTCAGCATTGGTTTGTAGTAGAAATGAAATTCTCTGCAATTTTATTTACTGAGGATTTACGAAAGTTTCTGATAACGGTGTTTAAAATTTCACATAATAGTTAATATCAAAACTTCTACTGCATGAATACAAAGTAGAAGGCCTCGTTTTCATAATATATATACAACAACTGTAGCTTGAATGTAATTCGAAAATCCTTTTAGATTAAGTATTTGATATAGTGACTATCCGCTGTCCAACATGAGCGCATTTTCTGAAACGTGTCTGGTTTTCTGACTGTATATTCCAGAATGCTATACATCCCATGTGACTGCAGTCTAAATGATTCTATGAGGACCATTTTGATTGATCATGTAAACACAGAATCGCTAGCTTATATTTAATAAAATAAAATTCGAAATATCTCTTTCCTTTCATATTTTTATTTGATTTTGTCAGAACTTCTGATCAACCCTAGATAGTTATATTCATCGAATTTTTAATTAATTATGACAAATACAATTTTCTTAGTACTTTTTTCAATAACTGCTGTTCATGTGTTACTATTTTGCTTTTGTATGTTTTTACATCTGAACTGAAAAAGTAAGTAATCTGATTAACTTAACTTCGGCAAATCTAGATGGAAATAAAACTTAATTTTTATAACTGAAATATATCTCCTATGATTATTTCAGTTTTAATTCGAGATAATTCCGTCTTTAACAAAGTCTACCATTGATTGAAGACAGAATAATAAACAGTTCTTCCTGAAAAGCTGTAACAAAACTTTCAAACAGGTTTCACAAAGTTCACAATATAGCNATGTGACATGCACAGTGTTGAAAATGATTACTTATCATCTGTGAGCACAATCCAGAAGCAGGATGTTGATTGAACATCTGTGTTCATCTTCAAATTCAAGCGTCATATTTTAACGTATTAATAATTTACTGGGCTTTCTTCTCTTCAAAGCTTTGCAGAATGAATGATTTTTTTCTGTAATTCTACCCTTCTATATTGCTCACTTCGTTATTATTAGACATGATTTTCACTAATTATAAGAATCTAATCATTTTTATCGCTCGTCTAAAAATCACTCAAATACAATAGACAGAATCATCAATATTTATATGTAGAATCTCTGTAAATGATAGAGATGATAATTCTATTGAAGTATTCATTAAAGACTAGACTAGACTAGTTTGTTAGTTATCAAGAATATTTTACATTTAAATCGGAACAGAGCTCAGTCCTTTTGATTAAATCTATTGAATTGATGATCAATATATGAAGCAATATGTAATTCTTGCGTACTGTTCATTAACCTATATCTATCAATTTTTTAATATTCCTACCTTGTGGTCGCATTGGTGGCTTTGGTACACTAAAGTTTAAAAAAAAATAGATCATGAAGTATTATTGTGTCTATGATAAAGTGCTACATAGGCATTGGTGGTAGTGGTGATGGTCCTGGTCCTGGCGATGATGATGGCTAAAATAAAAAACAAAAACATATGTATCGATAATTTGTCATCAATGTTAATGCTTACTTGTGGTACAAGTTCAATGAGTGGAAATAGCGGCTGAATTTCTTTGAGTTGGATCATATAAAAATCGTCACCTTGATTGAGAGATCCCTTAACTTCAAATTGTCTTGCTGCTGGTAGAAGGATTTCATCTTCAGCTTGATAACAAGAATATTTTCGAATATCTTTGCCACTATCGCATTCAATCGTAAAGAATGTTCTTCGGCCTGTTTTACCCAAAAATAGTTCGTTCTGCAGTACATCAAGAGTGGTTGTACAAGAACTGAATCCCCACCAAACAAATATCTTTCCTTTTGGATATTCTTTTCTCATGTCTTTCTTGACACCACGATAAACCGTTCGAGCCATTGACGGAAGGTGAGCCAGTGCAGTGAGAATCAATTTGAGAAAAAGAAACCAAGGTTCTAGTTTTTGCCGATTTTCATTTCGTAGAGTTTTATTTAAAACATGATAAAGACACTCGTCTTGCGGCTTCCATTCCATTGAGTAGAGAGTAATCGAGGCTGCTTCGTGAATAGATAGTTTTCCGGGTGAAAGCTCTGCACATTTCATTTTTGCAAAGTAGGCTCTTCGTCACACATCAGGTACATATTCAACAATGGGTTCTACAGCCTCTTCTAGCGTAACAATAGGCTTTTTCTCATAGCCTTCTATAGGCATCAACATTCGACCTGATTCTCCCAATATATCAGAAAAACGTTGTGTATGCTGTTGTTCTTCAATATCAACGAATTTTGCAGCCATTTTTTAATTGAAAACTAAGGAAACATAAATAATAGTGGTTGTCATGTCTGAATATACTTATTCTAAGAGAAGGGCAAGATTTTGTAATAAGAGATTTAAGTATAGTAACGATTTATAGATATAAAATATATTATTAAGACTACGGGTTGAACAGTTTTCATCTCAATCTGATTCCTTTTGAATAAATTTTGGCAGAAATTAAATGATAGGTTATTTTAGAATTTAAGTAGGCGCTGGTTTTAAAAATCGATTATAAGATCAAGACAATGAAATAGAAGCTCGGGCAAACAAATACTAGTGTAAGTATAACTGATATTCTAAAACTGTTACAATCATTTTATCATATCCTAGAAAATGATGATCTTTTCATTATTCGTGCAAGAACTCAGTAGAGTAAAACAATTTGATATCATATGGTACTTAATTGAGTTTCAAGATTCGCAACGAAATCCTTAACTTTATTTGATTTGTAAAAATATGATTCACCAGGAAATTATAATACTATGCTATTATTAAGCATATCTCTTTTTCTTTTCATGTTATGTCTCACGTGCAGTCTTCTATATCAAGCCCCTTACAAATTCACACAATCTATATCGATCATCCCGGACTCTCTTTTTCACTTTAATTGTCTTAATTTGTTACCGAGAGAATTAATCACAGGTAGAATTTATTTCAAATCCATGGGATCCCTTATTTGAATTTGAATTTAAATGAAGCTGCAGTTGCTTGGTAACATTTCAAAAATGAATTCAACTATGTTAGGACAGATAAATTTAAAATATACTCTAGACAGTGTTTAAAAAGTTAAAAACACTAAATCAAACCACAAATTAAAACCAAAAATAGTAAAAGTAGTATCTTACACTCTACAGACGGGAAATGTGGAACAACAAATTCGACAACTACGGTTAATATGCTACGGCTCTACATATTCTAAATTTCTCATAAGGAAACGAATATAAAATTCTAGGTTCTACTTTTCACTTCACTAAGGGTGCCAGTGTGCTTCGATTGATGAATAAAATAAGTTTATGGGCAGTTACTAGATGTTTTAATTATATTATATTCAAAAAATTTCTTTCGCTTCAGCAACGTTCCAAAATATTTACTCACCACACCCAAGTAATAGAAACTGTAGTATATTTCGAAGTTATAATATGCTATTGTAGATAAGAATTTTCGTGACCGATGCTGTTTGCTTGTCTTTATAGAATAACTATACTTTCTGTTCTGTTTCCGTCTATTTAAGCATCTTCTTTCGAATTGTTGGTAAATATACTCCGAAGGAATAAAAAAAACTTCACCTAAGAATAGATAACAAATGATGATAAAGAAGAAAGAAAAACCCAAACGTGTTTGACAAAACTCATATCTAAAGAAGTAAATAGACTGATATTCACTTAAAATATATGACGCACAAGCGATTATTCATGCATTGCATATTTCCCTTTTGTTTCTAAAGCATATTCAGAACTACGCATATTTTGAATATGTGAAAGAAATGAAATAAACCAATTCGCATTATTTATTCTGTTGGTAATCCTAAACATTGAATTGAACTTCTTGAGAGAATTCTAACAACAACAGCCGTGTCACCAATATTCATCAAATATTTGGTCATAGAAACATGTTCTGAATTTTGATAGACATATAAGAATATACCTTAAAGTAATGCAATAAAAACAACATTTCACACTCTAGCCCATATTTTCTGACAAGCGAATATTTAAATAGTATTTTCATGAAAAACGGAAATTCAACGGTAAAATTGCTTTCAAAATCGTTCAATCATAACTAATTCAAAGTGTGAGTTAATTGTGTGTTACCACGATAAATTATTAAAATCTAGATATAGAAATTATCTAAAGCCTACACAGATAATATGAGAGAGAAACATTTGTCAAAGATTCTGGACTCATTTCAAAAAAATATGATTACATCTTTCGTTTAATCTAGAGTTCCAATTTCTAATCTCAATAGGCAAATCATCAGTGTGACGAAAGAAAAAAACAATTATACTAGTTTTTACGAAACTTTCATTCGATTACAAATCATATCTATTAAACATTCTTGTAATACAACATTAAACATAAGTAAACAATTAGCTCTGGATTCATGTTGAATTAGTAGCATCAGAGTTGAAAATTCTAGCTCATAAGCCTGAATAAATTCTTAATCTTTGCATGAAATTGTTGATACACTCGATGTAAATCAGAGATTTTCATCAAAATATATTCAACGTCATGGGTGATGTAAAAATGCTTGACGGAATGAATTAGAGTGCAATGTTTCCACAAAAATCACAATGTGTAAAAAAGACTGTTATTGCCTATTTTTGAGAATACCTTAAATATATATATAATTTATCCATCAGGATCACCCTCATCGAATCGCACACGTTTGGAAAACTGTATTACGCAAAGTCACTTACTGAAAATGTGAAGAACTGAATTTCCTCCATTCATTATATGCTACATGGAACTAGAGAAATCACAAAGCATTAATTACACACTTAACTTGAACCAGTTATTTTCTCTAGAATCAAAAAGTTGATTAATTAAGGATCCTAATCATTCAAATATCCTTCTGCAAAGTATAAATACTTTCAAAGAACTTTTCATTTGCTGAACACTTTATTTCATTTTGACAAAGAGCTCTTCTTTTCAAACTGTTATAGATCTCAGAACAATGATCTTTGTTCACCAAAAAAGTCCACTAGAAAGTTTTATAAATGGCAGAAATGTATTTTTCACAAATTCCATTTATATTCAAAGCCTAATTTGACAGCTACTCTATGCAACTGATCGATGTTTATTTTTAGGAAGTTTCATAGCTATTGCCATTCTAATATGTGCTCTAATTAATAATTTAAAAACAAAATCTGTTGATCATCACGATCATTTGCTTGTCCGTTCGTGAGTCACCATAAAGACACTATTCTGGTACTTGTTTAGATTGAAAAAAAGAACAAAATGAGATACTAATAATATATGCTACATTTAAACTAAGGCCAATAATCATCATAAAGAAATAAGGAGTCGGTGACACCGGTTTTTCCCATTGTACATTAACAAGTTTTTTTGTATCATAATAACATATTTGGCTAGTGATTATATCATAAGTATCTATTTTTTGCATTGCTGTGGCTGTTGATACAAATTTGTTGACTATAGTTGAAAATATTAGTTGGGCATGAGTTCCATTTGAAATATAATATTCTACAGACCACATAACACAAAAGCCTGTATTTGGACACCAATCATCATCAATATCGACAATAAGACATGTATTATTCGTATATGCTTTAAAGGCAGTGTATGTTGGTATAAAATTAGCAAGACCCACAGCTCCGACAATTAATGAAGCAAAACCAATTATAGTAAAAGATATAATAAGAGCAAAATATAAAGCAACTGAAACTAAAGTTACTATCCGACTTGACATTGTAGTTCCGTAAGAAATACCAGTCTTGTTTAAAGACTATAATACTTGTACTTTTTTTGCTCGGTGAGAAAAAAAATATGCAGAGAAAAATAAGAAATCATAGAAAAACCTTTCAAAAAAAATAATAAGATCGTAATTCAACTTGAGATCAAAAAGAAAGAAATAATGAAGTATGTAGAGAGACAACTTGCTTCCTACTATTCTCGTACGTGATTTTGTCTTTGTTCAGAACTATGATTTTAAAAATCAGTTCATTAGAAAATCTTTTAAAATATCACAGGCCTTTTTTTATGTTTCATACAGAACTCGAAAGCAATTTTAATGTTTTACAGACACTTTCGTCTTGTTTTTCTTTGCTCCCATGCATGTTCGACGCAAATAATATTTGTACTGATTGATTAAAAAATTCTTTGTTTGACGATAAAATAAATCCAATGTTTGTTTTTTGTTGCACATCGGAGACAATTTCATGGCATTAAGCATCAACTCGTGAAGAAATTTCGATATTCGTTTTCATTGTGATACTATTCTACATTTATTTGTAATATTATTACTACGTATGTTCCACCGATACAAGAAAAAAAGCGTGATATCTGATTCATATAATGAATATTTGTACAATAAAAATTACAGAGCTAATCATCTTCATCCGACATAGACATGCGTGCTTTCTTTTTCGCAGGACGTTGTTGGTTGACAGACGAACCTTGAACAAATTCAGCTGCTTCGTTTTTCAATAAATCTATTTCGCTTTCATCCGTTGAAATATCTTCGTCGTCATCATCAGCGCCTGCCGGTCCAACTTTCTTACGTGGTTTCCAATCACGATCAGGATCTGGTTCAGAAACTCCTTTGAATATATACGTAAATATTCGAATTAAATTTGAAATCAAACTATACAAGATCATATACCCGTACGATCACTACGTGCACTATCATCAATATCTTCATCATCAAGAAAACTATCATTATAATCATATTCATTCGGTAATCCATCATCATCATCTTCATCGTCACTTCCTAGAAAAGACAAAACGTGGCTATCAAAACTATTTAAGTGGTTCGCTATTAGAGAACTGAATTTACGTTTACGTTTTGATGTTCGTGGTTTAGCTGTAGTGATTGTTGATCGTTTTTGAGTATGACTATATTCCTTAAGATGATCAGGATTTTTTCTATAGCAATCAGTTCCATATGGACATTCAGGCTTTTTATCACTGCTATCATTTTCTTTATTATTCCAATCTGGATCGCCAGGATGTATATTTTCTTGAAGATGAGTTGGATTTTTTCTATAACAAAATTTTCCATATGGACATCGCTCGCGTTTAACTGGATTAGTAACTTTCGATGATACTTGATCTACTGTTGGTGGAGTCACTTTTTTAGCAGATTCTTCATTTGATTCTTCGTCATCATCATCATCATCATACACAACTCCTTCAGATTTTTTTCGTCCGATATCTAACAAGTAAAACATGAATGTTATTAATAAATTATCGATCTTTTGAACTACTTACATGTTCGATATTTAGATGGTGATGGACTAGCTTTGACTGGTGTTGTAGTTTGTTTTCCTTTACCTCGTCCTTTAGGACTTTTCGTTTCAGATACTGAACTAGTAGACATCCACGCTGGTAATGCACGTGTTGTATGTAATATAATACCACCTTCCGGTTGTACCTTAGTAACACTTGTCGAAGATTTATCTTGACATGATGAAGAATTCTCCTCTTGTTGAATTGGTGATTTTGATACTGCTGATGGTTCTATGTGTTTTTCTTCTTCTTGATGTATAGGCGATTTAGTTACTGTGGATGAATCTATAAGTGTTTCTTGTTCATCTTTTTGTTTAATTGAAATACGATAAAAATATTCATTTGGTAATAAACCAATTTCATCATTATCGTTCAATTGAAATTCTTGATCTTTTGTTAATGTTGTCAATTGATTTGTTTTAGTTCTATAAAATGTTGGATTATGATGAATAGGTTTTATCCATAGAGTTCCATCAGATTTAATGTTTAGTTCAGCATGATTACGAGAAATTTTCTTATCCGTACAACCAATATTTGGTGTACGACCAATAGTTGTTACCGTTGTATCATCGAGAATAAGTCGATTACCTTTATCTAATGGTATAAGTTCAACAGTTGACATCGCAATTATCGTATAAAACAATCAAAATCTTATAGGACCTTTTATTCAGTTGAATATGTCATTGCCAAACGGTGTTGCAAGATATCAGTGTGCATTCATTCGTAGAAGGAAAAAATTGAGATGTCGCTGACATTTGAAATTTTATTATAAACCAATGAAATTATAAAATCAAATTTCTTTTTCAACTGATCACAACTGTCATCTACTAATAGCGAACTTGTATCAAGCGCAAATCTTAGGAAATTTAACTTATGGCTGAACGAAAACGTCCATCGGAGACTGATATATCTCCAAAAGATAATTCTAAAAAAGTTAAACTTATACAAACAACGTTAACGCCTAATTTATCAACGCGTCCTTTGTGTAAATATGGTGCTAAATGTTACCGAAAACATCCGGATCATTTAAAAGCTTTTCGTCATCCATCAACAGAAAAAAAAGAAGAAGAACAAGACATTGATGATGATGATTCAACATCTAAACCAACTGATTCTTCTCCTGTACCATCACCACTTGAAATAACAACAGCGACGACGACGACGACGATTAAAAGTCCATCATCATCGTCGTCAAAGAAACAAACAGCAACATCAATTAATGCTACAATTAGTTTAATGGAGTTAATGGAATTAAGCGGTGAAAACTTACTTTCAAGTGTTTATGCAATGGAATTTCCAACTGATCTATACGAATTTTGGAAGTTTTGTTCAAATTTAAAGAAGAATAATCCACGAGGTGAGAATAAAATGCTGATTAAATTTTTGTTTCTTAATCTGAAACTTTACAATCATAAAGAAATGAATAATAAACTAATGCATATCATATTTACCAGCCACGTAGAATTTTCTAAATCTTAAAATTTTCATTAGGACTTGTGATAGTCTCATTTTAGCTCACTTGACGCAAAATGGAGATTTCAATAACATAGTTGAGGTATTTACTGGTCATCAACAGTTCGATTTAGCGCTTCCAGATTATTTTTCTTGCATTAGATCTCTTAAATCATGAAGATAATTTTATTTTATAATTCGTTTAGATGTACTGAAAGATTTACTTAATTTGGAATTGGTCGGTCCGTTTGAAATCCTTGATGATGCTTTAAAAACCTGCAAAACATTACCAAACATGCATTTACATTATCGATATTATTATGATACACCTGAATTTATGACTCTTATTCGAACACTCGATAAATCAAGTCAATTTCATATTGGTTATTATAGGTTAGTTCATATTGTTCTATTCAAAAATAGAATATGAACAATGTCTTTTGATTCATTCATCTCGAATATGTAATTTAGAGATTCGCCAGATGAACTGCCATCATTTGTTGCTTCAAATAATGCTAGTGAAAATAATCGTTCTAAACTTTGTGGAGACAATATATTTGCTGCAGTTTAGTAAGTAAAACTTTTATGAAGAATTCAATGTTCTTTTTTTTGTTCTGTTGATCTATTTAGTTTATATGCTCGTGCAATTCTCAAATCAAATAATAAAGCTGACTTGAAAACTTTTATAAGTGACCTTGAAAATTATGCCAAGAAACATAAATTTTCTCTCGATGAAACAACACCAAAAATAAATGCTCGAAAGAAAAAAACCAATTGCACATTACTGAATACCTTGGGAATGGTAGTTCCATGTGAAAATGATATTGGTTATCGTCCTGTTCCATTTACTAAAGGTTCGTTAAGTGAAATTCTTAAGAAGAACAATATTCTCTCCACGCATAAGTTGCTTCATTCTATCTCTAACGTTAGATATCACGCAAAACGATTCCTATCGATAATCTTGATTAGATACAACATTGCATCTTAAATGTTCATATTAATTTAGATCAATTTAAAAGAGTTTGTGATAAATTCTGTAATAGTACATCGGAAGAAATATGCCAAGCAGCTGAAGATGAATTACAAAATGTTATAACATGCATTCAATTTGCAAACGACGAATGTGATTATGGTGAAGGTTTAGAATTCGGTTTAAATTTATTTTTATATGGTTCATCAAAACTTCATTCGCGTGTTATGAGTCTTTTACCTCTTGGCTACAAATTACTTCAACGAAATCTTTATGCACAAATAATAGCAGATCATCTATCATCAGGTCGTTCGAATTTAATTGAAAATTTAAATGAAATAGAAAAAAACAATTAATTTAATTTTCTCTCAAATGATTTTTGTACATGTTTATGATTAATTCAATATCGTTTAATAATTTTCTATGTTTGTTATAAAAAAATTTCGATTGATATGGACGTGAAATAAATGATAATTGAAGATATAAATCAGATTGAAGACGTTTAAGATGTACATGGTCAATATCATTTTTTTCTTTAATAAGATATCGATCAAAATAATCGATAAGTTTCATATAAGTTTTAGCTTGATCTTGTTCTAATTTATTTACATAAGATTGAGTTAAACGATCAAATATTTCATCGGTTTCCATCGGCATACTTCGATGATAGTAAACAAGAGACTCCAGACATTTTCTATGGTTCATAATTATTTCTAAACAAAAGAAAATTATCAAAACTAGTATCGATCAATTATTTAAAATAGACAATCGTATTTGTTGATAAAAATTTCTCTTTCATTTGTTTTAGTTGCTATTGTAAAAGATAGTTGCTTCAAGTATTAATAAATGAGCTTTGCTTTTTCATGAAAAACAAAATTTTGAGCTAACTTGAATCATACTCAAAAATTATCTATTTTCTTTGAATATATTCTCAAAATACATACTTGGAATAACTGACCAAACCAATTCCAATTGTTCTAACGTTAAATGCGATTGATCAAGTTGTTCGATAGCTTGGCAAATAAATTGGCATGATTCATCCAAACGATTCATTTGCAACGCCATATCAGCGTTCCAAAAATATTCTTCAATAATATTCATTATTATTCACCTAATTATTCTTATTCGTTTTGTTTGTATAGATCTCTCGGCAATATCGACTATCTAAACCAATATATATATTTCAAAGTAAGAAAAACAAGCCACGTGTGTTTTATTGTTGCTAGTTCTTCTGATTCAATATATATATATATATATTGTTGTCTAAGAGACCTAATGACACGCTGAACTGGATATTCGTTATTTTTCTTTCTGTTTGTTTCACACTTTATCGAGAGAATAATAATGTTTCTCTTAGTTCGAAACGAACAAATCAGTTTAGGTTCGTAATTTGATGATAAATAGAAAAAGAAAAAAGCATAAACAATGATGTCGACATCAATCGACCCTCATAATACTAGTCATAATAGTAATGGCCGATCATTGAGAATTGTTTCAACAAATCGACTCTTTACCAAAGTCAGAACTGAGCAACCATCGGATTCAAGTACTGCAACCAAATAAAATTTTATCTGATAATAAATAAATGAATAATATTTTTCTTCCGTATAGTTTTACCATCAATAATGGATGCAACCGGTCTATTTTCGGATCATAATCTTCATGTATTTCCAAAAGATGAACCCATACTTGATGAAACAACAATAATAACATCATCGTCGCCACCGCCATCATTTGTTGATTTTCATCAAACATTGTCAACATCAGCATCGAGTCTATCGTCACCAACATCATTTTCACCGTTGCAACATGATCATAGTTATGGTGTATCAACAAATTCTTCGTCGTTACTTCCATCACCATCTTCATCCGATCCCTTAACATCATCGGATTTAACAAGTCAAAATTCAACGTCTTCTGTTGTTGTTACATGGCCACAAATAAATTGTCGAGCTTTACGCCCAGATGATTATCATATGCTACTTGAATTATTATCATCGAATACCAATGCGGATTCACCGCCGATATTTTTTGGTTCAGCACTTATTGATCCATCGACATCGACACCATACTCAGATGCAACACGTACACAGCCGAAAAAACGTGCGCGCCCTGGCCATGTTAAACGACCAATGAATGCATTTATGGTTTTTTCACAGATTGAACGCCGAAAAATGATTCAATTAGCACCACATTTACCAAATGCAGATATAAGCAAGCGAGTTATATAGGCTTCTTCGAACTCATATTTTATAATGACATATATATATATTCTAGATGCTGTGGAGCGAAATGGAAACGAATGTCATTACGTGAACGACAACCATATATGGAAGAATCTGAACGATTGAAACAACTTCATGCACGACAATATCCTGCATATAAAGTAATTATTTTGTTTAGCTATGACCAATACAATCTTTTTAATCGAAATCGACAATCCTATTAGAACGAATAGACTGTTTCTCAACCGGTAGTTTTTTAACATTATATTTTCTAGTATCAACCAAGAAAGCGAGGCAAGACTAATCAACCAACGAATGCAGTTCCAAATTCACCTTCAATATCTGGTTCATCGTCATCATCATCATCACCATCAGCAACAGTTCCTTCCTTAAATAGAATGACAACAATCCCTTCGCACATGACAACTGTTTCTAAAGAACAATCCCAAACGCCACCACCACCACCACCATCACTTCTACAATCATCTTCCTCATCGACATCAAATCCAAACGATCCGATATCACTATTAGTAGCAACATTATTCGATCAAAAACTAGCAATGTTTGCTAGTAATCTTCAACAATTTAATATTGATCATCTTCAATATCAATTTACACCACCAAATACTCAACTTTATCCATCACCAACACCATTGCCTTTTGATCCCGTGGCTTTTCTTGCTAAACAACAACAGCATCGAGTTGTTTAGAAAAATAACAAGACTGATATCAATAAACTTTTAGTAGTTATTTCTACATCTTAGATAAAAACAAAACATATTAGAGATAGATTGATAGATAGAGAAAAGAAAATTTTATTTTCATTTGAACGTTTTATTTTATTTTGTTGTGTGTTTATGTGAGTTCTTCTGTTTTTTTTTCTTGGCTATACTCTGGATCTTGCTCTACAGTTTTGTTTTGTTTGTTGTTTGTTTTGAGCTATGTAGCAGTTCGAAGATGCATATTTAGCCATATGAAAAAGAAAAGATATTTCTCATTTTTTATAAGTAAAATATAGAACAACAAAAACGTTTTCTAAACGAAAGCAAATGTTTGATTCATTTGTGGTAACAAATCGCAATGCGAGAATTTTTCTCTCATGTTTTGTGGTTATGGAGTTCTAGTCTTGATACCATCTTCACGAAAAAAAGTAACGCATTAATCTAAGATTTCTTCAAAGACAACTCTTGTGATTTAAAGAACTCTTTATAGATTATATGATTCATGTTCTGACTATTTCTAACATCAACAGGCGAAATAAGTAGTTAGGTTAATGTAAATATCTCCGATGGAATTCGAGTTTTCCAAGAATACTCAATATTGCCGGAACATGAACAGTATTATAAAAATCATGGAAAATTACAGAATTCAGACTTAATGAAGACGGCGCTGTGTCGCAAAATGAATGAGAAAATAGATGTTCAATTAGTTACACTAACTTGCTAATTTTCAAGATTTATTGCTAAATTTTTTATGAAATAATCACTAAGTCACACTGTCGCTAAGATTTTCCTCCAGCTCAATTTTCTAAATGTTTTATACGCAACGGCTGTCAAATGAAAGAAGAAAAACGCATGTTCTCTGTTGAACCCGAGCTGTGACTCAATCCAGATCTCATTTTATTAATTGCCACAATTTCTCATGACTTTGTTTACAATCCAACGAAGGAAATTACTCGTTAGTTAGGTGCCTAATGAGACAGTTTCTTTGTCATAGCTCAATATTGACTAGAACAAAACATGGTAGATGTACCGAACCAGTTACTTGTATGATTTAGTAAACTAATCTTTTTAAAATCCTTCTAAATTGTTAGAACAGTGCGAATTCTTGCATTAAAACCCTTTGCTTTCATTACGATACGTTGATCTTCGATATTAATCAAAGAAAATTATCAATAGATAAGATAAAAGAAACTATATGCAACCATGAATCAATACAAATGCAATAGCAAGATCATTTATCCTTAAATTCAGAATATCTTCATTTCGATATTTTGTCAAAAAATACTTCATACATACAACGATCGATCGTCACATTTGTTTTTTATTCTTATGAACAAATTTGTGATGCTCATTAGTCAATTTTTTCTTCTTCTATACAACGAAAGACAATACGATCAATTCATATCTAATTACAATTTAGAATACCTTCGAAATAAACATTTTAAACGAAACTTTTATTTAATACGCATATCAAAATGGCTTAAATTGGTGTGAGAATACTTTTTCTCTGTTCGATATAGACAAAGCCAATATCTAACTAAAGTTAACAATTGAATCATTCGATTAGACGAAACTTTGCCAGTTGATATGGTCACTACCATTCACAACGAAGAAAAACGAAGAAAACAATATAACACGTGCTGCTAAACATAGATTTTTCTCCGCGAATTCATCTCTATCCACTTCATTCATCCCTCCTATCCTAGTTATCCACTTTTCATTTCCATCTTTAGACCGTATATAATAGGCACATATACGCGCACCTAAACAACATGTATAATTCGAAAAATTTGCATAATCCGTCAAAAAAATTGAACATCAATACTTCTTCCAACTTAAAACAAACAACATGTAAATTATTCGTTGGTAATTTAGCTACACATACAACAAGTACACATCTTCAATCGATATTTCATACATATGGACAAATAATTGAATGTGTTAAAGTACGTGAAAGATATGGTTTCGTTAGATTTTCAACAAACGAAGAAGCACAACGAGCATTAAATGCTTGTAACGGTTTACAATTAAATGGCTATCCAATGATTGTTGAATATGCTCAAAATGAAATTCTTATTAGTCCAAAATCACCACGTACAACATCGAATCGATATCATACAAAAAAAGTAACAACACCTATATCAATAAATAAGAATAAGAATAATAGTACGACAACAACAACAACTACTACTACTACTACTACTAATAGTAATAGTAATAATATTAATATTAATAATAATCAACAAAATGATGATATACCATTATCAACATCAGATTCAAATAAATTTCCATCATCAAATTTAAATCCTGATGCTTCATCATTTACATTAACTTGTTCAACAAGTGATTATTATTCTCAATCGGATCGACCATCGAGTCGTTCATCATCGGAACGATCAAATAGTTTATCACCATCGATACTTTCAGCAACATTACCATTATCATATTCAGAAGATGATGATGACGATGATGATTGTCATAGAAAGAATATCAATGATAAACGACAAGCATTAAATCTGTTTATTGGTGATAAAATTCTGAGTCTATATGGATCAAATGTTGATGCAAATAATAATCAAACATCAGCACCATTTAATGGTAATAGAAAGAAACATTTTTTCCGTTATTATTAAAACTATAACGGTTTATTTTAGGTCGAGATATTGATCCACGTGATCCAGTATTTATATGGAATTTTGCCTTTTATCCTGATGTATCAATAAGTCCATTCGTAAAACGCTCAGATATTAAAACATTACTCGAACGTCGAGTTTCACTTTATTCACAATAGGTATTCTTTATTATGCAAACTGCTGGTCAGTAAGATATTGGTTGTGTGTCCTTATATTTATTATTAATTAATGTTACTCGTTCTTTTGTCTTTATATTCATGTTGTGTGCAATACAATATTTTCTCTGCTTTTTTTCTCTCCTCATAATTAACTTCTTTATATATGTGTGTGCCGGTCCAATGTGTCCTGCACTTACTCCTAAATTTAATACTCTGTAATCCGCCGCCGTTCTATTTTCTTTAAATTATCTATATTAATTTCTCTTCTATTCATATTTTTCTCCTTAATCAAAACTGTAAAAAAAATTATCTTTTCTCTCTATTTTCTTTTCTTTATGCGACTACTTTATCTTATTTTTTCTTATTTTATATACATTCGTCTACTTAGTAATTATAATATTTGTTGGTGTCTATGTGTGCGTCGGTGACGATGTATATTATGAAATTATATTAAGAATATATACTGAATGTTCTTTTCATAGATAGATGTGATCTATTTTTTTTTCTCTATTCTCTGTCATATTGATAATTCGTACAAGGTGTTTTTCTCATCATTCGATTTTAAATGATTTCTGTTTCATAATCATAATTTACATGAAATAAAGCATAAGACATAGGATTGTATTAATCAATTAAATTTTCTCTTTTTCTTTTTCGGCTGCTTATTCAATTAAAAGTCTCGCAATGGATGTCGAGAAGAGTACTTGTGGAAATCAATGACACCATCAAACCACTTAGTGTACAGGATGTCATCGGTTTGAAAATAAAAGAACTCGATAAAATGTCACTTCACGAAATCAATTCTCAATATCGGATAACCGTTGACTTTCTTTTGAAAACAAAGAAAAAAAGATTGGTGGTTATATATGGAATCAAACGGGAAGATTAAACATTTTTCTGATTAAAAACTACGTTCCGTGAAAAATGATCAATAAACTTCTAGATAATATTTTTTTCAATTCAGATTCCGGAAAAAAGTATCAGCGTGGCATATAATTTTAAATGAAATTTTCCGACAGAAGTAACAGATTATGTAAGTGAGCTCCATCTATTGTATTTCGAATTAATAGTAGATTTTCTGAAATGGAAAACTGTTTGAAAAATATGGAAGTTGACGTTTTCAAAAAAATAGGTTCACACTATGCCGGTGTGCGTTAAAGACAACAAATGAAATGTAAAGTGTAGGAAAATCTGTGATACGCGTGGGACTATCTTGGTGTTGTTTTTGTGACAGTCTTTGAGCGAAGAATGATTAATAGTGACAGATCTGTAAGTTTATTACTTAGAGAAAATACGAATTGTCATCGTTTCTCATGATTTTTATAATTTAACAATATCATAGTTTTGTCGAGATTAACCAAATATTAAAGGAATTTTTCTTCTTCTTCTTGGTGTTAACATGCAAATGATTTATTACCAGACAGAAATAATTATCCGTTATAGATGTCAGAGCCATAATTATAACCTACTTCAAACATTTATTTTTCATCGATAGTATGCCGTATAGTGTTATTAACCGTATAGTACATTTTTTAGATTTCGAACATCAGATCCCACGATAGAGAAGTATATCCGCAAACAAAAAGCATGTCTTTTTGATTTAATCTAACGACTTGTTCCTACAGATTTATTTATCACTTTTCTAAGCAATCATGAAACGACAGTGAAATATGAATTCAATATTCAATTAATATGTTATTTAGAGTTTTCGTATACTTTAAAAACAAACTGAATAGAATCAAAATTTAATAAAAAAAAAGAGTGTAATTCAAGTCCAACTGAGGATATCAAAAGTTGTGTAACACGATTTTACTTCTTTTCTGAACAATATCGCGCATGTTTAACATTTCTTTTTTTTCTTCTCTTCTATTGATGATTGATGATTAGATTTTCAACTCTTCACCTGTTGTCATACTAATACAATGACATATAACAAATGATTACTATGTGTAATGTTCGCTGTTTCATAACGCATTTGTCAAAGGTATTACAAGAATGTACATTTTTCTATTTTTGTTTATCAATAAAATAATTTACATTGATCGATCAATTAGAAGTTATATTTGCTTGTGACCTTTTAGTACGTACGTGAATTTTGTAATCATTATTGATTCATCAGAAATATAAAGTTAGAGAGAGAGAGAGAGAGAGACGGGGAGGGGGGACTCGCTTTTTGATTGATTTGATTGAATAGACTTTGCGTTGACTTGACAAGTAAGCGAGCAAGACGAGTCACATAGAGAGAAAAAAGAAGGAGAAAGAAAAGAGAACGAGAAATCGCAGTGCGATCTGTCAACATAAATCAAGTCCTGTTGTCATACATTTGGGTTTGTATAAGGCAGGCGGGCGAATGAAGCTCAAATTCGCCAAACAGCCGATCATTTATAACAAGAGAAAAGAGAGTGGGTCTGCACAATCTGACATTTATTGTTCCGTCTGACATATACAAAAATTCAACTTGTTGTGATCCTTTCTTGTTTTTCATTTTTATTATATTCTTGCTTCAATAATGTTAACTGAGTCCTATAGTAGAATGTTGTTAACACTTTAATGTTTGCGAATATTGCATGTCTGATTTGTTGCATTTTACATTACATTGTTGGCTCATAAATCAGAAAGTTCTCGTTCGATTTCTTTATGTTTTCTTCTCTTTTTTTTTCGAATACTTTATCCTTTTCATCGCCTAGATTAAGCGTTGATGTTTTGAAATCGAAAATTTGCGCTACACTATCTCATTCATCATATATATATATACGTGCACATGCACAAGTCACATCTAATTACCCATTTATACTGATGGGAAGCTACAGGATTTATTGTTTAATCCAATAGATGATGAAGTACGCTTGTCTTCTAACCATAGATGATCTGTATGCGTGATGAAAGAGCTATCAGTCACCCACACCCGAAAAGAGTCCGAAAATATGTTTCATACAATGTGTTCCATCTTCTTTTTTTTCTCTCTCTCTTCATATTCAATCATCAGTAAGAATGTATTTTGAAAAAAGCTCTTTAACAATCAATCTTTTCCCATCATATAGACACATATCATTAAAATTCTAATAGTGACTATTTGTGTCTCATTTTTGCCTTTCATTCTAAAAGCATCTGTGATGGAAATCACATTCGTCGCTAACATCTAAAGTATATAATTCTTTCACGGTCAGAAAAAAAGATAGATGATGATGATCATCGCTGTCATCCTCTATTGTTGCTTGTCATTTAGATGAGTGACGCGTCTGCGCGCATATGCTTTGTGCGACAAATCGAACTCATTTATCTTCATCAACAATTAGATCTAAGCAGGCAGCGAACCGGTCACTATCTACGATCATTGTCGCATATCACTCCTTCCATAGACTAATGATGTTGCTAGCTGCCAGTCAGATATAAAACAACTACACCACTACCCATCATCGTATCAATCCATCAAGCAACCATCTATTTCTTTGGCGTTCAGTTTAATAGCATTTTAAATTCTTCTAAATACAAATTGAGGGCAACGGATCATTCCATTCCTTTAAATACACTCGTTTTCTTGATTGAAAATTTCAACGCATAATCAATGGATCATGTTTTGTACACTCATTTCCGGATTTTTTTTAATGTCCACTTAGATCTATATTCACATCTATCATGAACCTTTAAGATTGATAGTCCTCACTTCGTTATATATATATTTTTTTTTCTTCACATCACATTATTTATAATATATAGATTTGTCTATTCCTATCAATCAATCATAAAATATATGCGGTGGGCGGTAAGCCTTTCTTTTGTTCTCTCTTTCTCTCGTCGACATTAAATCATTCATCACTCATTCATACAAATGATTTTGTTAAGAAAAAAAGAGAAAATGGCGAAATAACACTTCTGTTCCTCTTTTAGCTTTTCTATTGCTTAGCTGTTATTCATTATAGAATGGAGGACAATAGTAGTACACCTGTTGATTTACGTATGAAACGAAAGTACACTGATGTTGATGATGACAAAGTTGCAACGAAAAAGAAAACACGTCATCATGAGGGCGAAATTCCGCTTGATCTATCTATTAAAACAACGCATCAACATTCTTCACCATATCCAATATCGTCGATTCCTTATTACGATCCGACGAATGTATTTTTCAATTCATCTGCACTGCTCTATGATCTATTCTTAGCAAATTATACTTCTTATTGTCAACAGCAGCAGTATCAAGCAAAAATCGAACCGGTCAAGCCTAAATCTATTAAACAACCAACAACGATACCTTCGCGTTTAATAAAAGATACTTTAACAACAAATAAGCATGAATCTTACTCATGTTCGTGCGGTGAACGATATTCTAACGTTCCTAAACTTGTAAGCCATCTTAAAATAACAAATCATAATGCACAATTATCATCAAAACACGATGAAGTTGCTAAACTTGTTCGCGGGCAAGATATTTGGTTGTCACGCGATACAAATCCAGCGAATCAAATTTTAAAATGTCTTCGTTGTTCATTATCATTTGAAACTTTACCGGATTTAACAGCACACATGATGAAAACAAATCATTTTAGACCACTTGTATCATCATCATCATCATCGAATTCTTATCAATATTCCAATCCGAAACAACAACAACAACAACATTCGCCTACGAAAATCTCTAATCCGAATTTACGTTCAATATGTCTTGTTTGTTCTCGACAGTTTCAACGTGAAGTTGAGCTTGTTGATCATTTACAACGATTACATCAAATACGTTTCAATTGTACGACATGTGGAATGTATTTCGAAAACGAAAATATTTATAAAGAACATTTAATTAAAGAAATGCATCATAGAAATGGAAAAACAAGTAAAAATCGAGATTATTTTTTTCAACAATGTAAAATATTACAAAAACAAACGACGACGGAGAATAAGTAATGCTTACACAGACTTAATTAAATTAAAAAAATGATTGATTTAACGTGTTGTTCTTTGCCTTTTTTCTCTTACAGATCCGACCAACAAAAATCTCGATCACCTATTGTTGATGAAGAAGTCGCACGTCTTACATCGGATCTACTTGATTGTGTTGTCTCTAAAACTGAAACAGCAGCTGGCAATGCTTTATCACTTCTACAAAATTTTGTTATTGAACAAACACCATTGACAAAATTATTAAATACGAAAACCGATTGGAATAATAATTTCGATGATGAAAATAATAAACTAACTGTAATCAATTCATCGGATGAAAAATCACCATTATTAAATCAAACGGAATCCAACGAAGATCCATTAGCATCATTAGAAAAAATGCTTACCTATTCAACAATTGCGATTCAATCAAATTCACCATCGATACATGACAATGGATCTAAGAAAAAAAGATTTGATAAATATCGTTTATTTGCTGAAAAAATGATCAGATCCACTTTGTCATAATTCTTCGGAACAGCTTTTCCCCGCTTTTTTCTGTTTGTTTCATTGCTTCATAAATATCTAATATCTTTTCTTCGATGTGATGTCTTTATTAACTAGTATTTGCAAGATATATTGTTAAGCATTGTATAGTATCATTAATATGTCTAGGATCTATTAATCAGTAGATGAATAAAAAGACAAACCTCGGTGAAAAACATCGAACAGAAAGAAAGTCGTAGGCTACTGATTTTTGGATTTTGAGTACGTAGGTGAAATTATGAACGCCACAAATACTACAATTTTATATCAAACAAAACAAGAGTGCTTACATCAGAGCCCACCGGGCCCTACTCGATGGGCTCTAACTCACATTCATATGCGCATACCTTCATGCTTTTCATTTCAAAGACAGCATAGAAGACTTCTCTCTACACTAGTAGACTCGAGCTATTTGCTAACATCATGAAACGGTGGAGACATTTAATATAATTATTTAATTTTAGTTTGTGAAAAGATAACGCAAAAAGAGTCGAGAAACTGTCAAGTTGTTTTAAACAGTACCTTCGAAAAATAAAGGATAAATGACTAACCGCCAAATGTAACGTGTTGAAAGAATTTTGTCTAATTGGTAATCTGTTTAAAAACATCTTCTTCTAAGAAATAGTCCATGAATTTATTCACTTTTGAATGATTTTTCTAGACACTTTTAATTTCTTTAGGTGACAAAAAGAATATCTCCTACATTTCAAAAGCAAATTATTTATCTAGCTGATTTTCTCAGTTGAACTACACGCTATTGACTGGCATAGGCCCATTGTCATTGGTAACATCTTTCATAATTACAATGATATTCAACATGAACACACCCATAAGATAACCATTTGTTAAAGTATTATTTTCTCGATTACTAACGATTTGAGATCAATTTTTGAGAGATCCTTCAGAAGAAATGATTCTTTTTTTTTCTGCGTGTACTAATACTCTTCAATTGATGATCATTGTTTGCAAAACGAATTTATTATTATGTAATAAATATCACTATGATATGTCGCATTATTTGAGTTATGTAAACCTACACTATATGATGATAAACTATACGCTCTAGACGATTATGAAGCTTTATTCAATCAAAATGTAAGAACGATAATCATCCTATAAGGCACACAACGGAAATAGAGAAAATGAACAGGTCTATGTTTATTGGTGACATAATTTGAAATGAAATTTATCTCTACGAAAACAAAACAAAAATATTTTTCTATTGATAGATTTATTATTTAAATGTATGAAAATCTGCCTGTATTATCACAAAAAAATATCTTCGAATATTCACACCATGAGTTCTCAGCGATCGTTTCATCCAATATTCTTATTCTGCTATTGATTATCAATCAAATCAGTTTGTTCTTTGTTTATACATTGTTCAGCAATGATCGATGTATGCGTGAGTTATTTCTTTCTTATACAAAACAAAAAATCAAACTAAGTGAAATATAAATATTAAAAATAAAATGTATAATTTAAGCATAGACAAGTTGCTGATTGCCTGATGAATGTTTGTTCCCATCAAGTGCCTGTTTAAAAGCTGCCACACTAACTTGCCCATGCTGATCATTGGCAGCTGCTGTTGTCCATGTACTAACGAAATCTTCACCTGATACATAAATATTCGCATTAGCAAATATATCACGCATTTCTTCCATTGTTTTCGGTGCTAATAAATCATCTTCAGTTAAACCACGGTCGCTCCAAATCGATGGCGATAATATCGCGCCAACAATCGTATTTGAACCAAGTGGTGGTCGATGTTTATTATTCGATGTTGGAATAGCATATTGATGACTGCTTGCCATCGATGGTAAACCGTATTGGCGTTTAACTTGTGGTTCAAGGCGGAATGGTGCTTCATTGATTTTATCATAACTTGTTTTCCAACCTTCGGGCACCATTTCGTCAATTTGTGAAACAAGTTTACGTGGATAATATTTTCCATTGGTACCTTCGACAAGATCAGAAATATTTAATAGTGGCCGACCTTGACTGTCTCGAATAATTCCCGTGCGATTACTGTTAGGATTTTTCTTTTTCTCGTCGGTAATAAATTGTTCAAGACCACTTGAATGTGCAATACGATAGCAAAGAAAATTACTAAATTCAAGAAAATTTAATTTCTCATCCCGATCTTGATCACATTGAAACATTAATGCAGCAGTAAGGCCATCGGATAATTGAAGATTGAAATTTTTTTCAATTGTATTCGCCAATTCATTGATCGATATAAAACCATCTTGATTTGTATCATAGAATTGAAAAGCTTGCAATTGAGTTTTAAATGTTGTTATATGAATTGAACATAAATGTGCACGTAGTTTAGCTAAAGCAGCCTGAGATTTTTCATCGAATGCAGCTGGAACGTTGGCTCGTTGATGAATTATTTCACCAGCTGATAATCGATCCGATGATGTTGTTACTCCAAATCGATGATCAGTTGGTAAACCAGTTTGAGCAAGAAAACGACGTGTACGTATAGCAGAATTATCACTGCGGGATTCGTCATGTTCATGGACGCGGTTTTGTACTAGCGCTGTCGAATGGTTTGGTCGAACCCATATTAGAGATTCACGTGCGTGACGACCGTCAGCGTAGACTGGCGTTGGAACGCCATGGGTTTGCTTGCGAATCAGTTCACCATTTTGATAATGTCGTTCGAGTTGTTCGCCTGGTTCGAACTCTTTATGGCTGAAAAGATACCTAAAAAACAAAACAAAATTTCAAGATTTTCGTTGATGTTTTTTCTCTTACATGCTTCTCGGTTGTTCAAATTCATATTCAATTTGTGCTTGTGATTTCTTTGGATTAACAACATCTCCGGCTCTGTCGCTCGCTTTCGATGCCATGCCAAACGTTGTCTTGTATCTATCGATCGCTGGTGGTAACAATTTGTCTTGTTGCATTCTGTGCCTATTTCGTTCATAAACAAGTTCATTGAGATTAAATAGACGATTTTCGAAATTGGTCTTTGGTTTTGGATTAATTATTTCTCCATTTTTTCCATCGCCTAAATTCATCTGATCGCCATGTGTTTCATCACGATGATTTGGATCATAGGCGCGTCCAGGATGAACTCGAGGACGAGATACATCTGGCGATGTGTAATTACGGTAGCGTTGTACGACTTCAGGTGCAGCAGATGAAATTGCTTTATCAGTTAAAACTTCCCATAACTGATCATGTGTTAAAACTTGTTTTACCGAGGATGCCATGGACAAAAAGAAAAAAAAAGAAATATTATTGTATGTTTGCTTCTTACAACTTCTATCGTCAATTTGTGTTTGTTCGGATGCCAAGCAACGACAAACGAACGAACGAACGAACAACTTTATATCTTTTTTCTCTTTCTTTTTTTCTGTTCTCAATCATCAACAAAGAACACCTTAGATTTATAGTTTGTTTTCTTTTTCTATTTTATCACAAATATAAATACTGAAAGCTGTATGTTTGTTATTTTTTTCCTCAAATGGGATCAACAGAATGAAAGATCCGTAATGGAAAATGTTCATTAAAACAAAACGTATTTTATGATTCGAAAATCATGAAATAATAAAAATCACTTATCACGCGTTTTATCATCAGTTGCACAAGCAGGCACTTAAAAGTACTAAACATTTGCCTCTTTTTAATTTAATCGATTATCAACAGACTACTAGAACAAAAATGTTTTATTTCAAATGATCTTTGCGAATAACAATAAGCATGTATAATCTATATTTGACCGTGGCCGACGCAATTAAATTAAATTTAAACAAAACAGATTTCCATAAAAAAAAACACATTTTCTAGAAATTGTTACATAACAATTTTCTCTACCTGCACATTCTCAATGAGCAAAAGCTTGAAGCTCGCCATTCATTCTTTCAGCTAAATTATTCTATGGCGTTAGCTAAATGCAGTAAATATAGACATAGTTTTCAATTCAATATTCTTTCGAATAAATGGCATCAAGTATGCGTATGTATTATTAAGATTTACAGACAGAAATACACGATTGATTATTAACTCATTGATATTCCAAAATGTATCTTCCTATATCATTTTTCTGTCGAAGAATAATTGCTTTCTGAGTGTCATCATCTTCCTGAACCTAATAGCACGGGGAAGTTCTATTCAAATTCTCATTTACGACGAAGACATGACATGATATAAACGAGAGTTCTGTCATTTATGATGAACATCTTATACCACAGAAGTATCCTTCACTAGCTCATATGCAATAATTGATCGGTTGTTTGGTTATGTCCTTCAGAGATATAGATGACCGTTCCTATCTTCGCTTATGTTAATATGTTTTCTTTGATTGAATAAACATGTCACATAGGTCGATACAACTGAACAGGAGAGAGCAAGAAAGAAGATTTTGGGTTTTACATTGTGTTAAATCATGATTTTTGATGATCGTTCGTGTGACTATATGGAAACGAAATACTATCCACGTTGATGATTAAAAAATAATAACGACATTATTCTGAAAGAACTTGAACTAGGTATGCGTGCCAAAGAGTAACTAGATCCTATATTCATTGAGAAAAAGCAATGATTATCCCGCATTCTAGAAACTGTCTGGGTCACCTAGGTTATATAAAAGGTGGTCTAGATCAAAATTTTCTTTTTGAATACATCAGCCAATGAACGTAAATCAATGCTCATCTTCACTTAGGAGGGTTTATCATTTCTCCATCTATGAATACACATTAGGAGGTTCATAATAAATATGTGAACGATAGAATGCAAACCAGATGAGCTTACGTATCTATCATAATTGAAAACAAATAAGTTGAATAGTCATAAATGACTTGCTGCTGTTCGAATAATATTTTCATTATTATACTCTATTGATGATCAGTGATGAATATCAGATCTAATACAAGCAGTAAAACGACAGTCACATGGATTGTGGTCTAGTCAAAAATTGCACAAGAAAAAGTCACTTCATTCTTGAGAGCTTTATCAAAACTCGTCATAGCTCTTTACATCACGTTGATAGAATCTGTTTCATAAGATACGCTAATGAGTACGTGAGTGAGATTTTTGGCAGATTTCTCGTAATCTAGTAGATTTGTTTGGCATATCCTTGACACTTTAATCATGCATGTCTCAAGATATTAATGAGCGGAAATACTATTGACAGTTCTCCTGCTAGATTTACTATTTACCCTGATGTAAATTGTCCGAAATCACACAGTAACGAGCGCGACAAGTTATTCTTTTTTCGTTTGTAATTTGCCTAAGTGAATCGTCACTAATTAGCTCTATTCGCACGCGTTACATGTTAGTTCAAAAGACAATTCTTTTTAAATTCTTTATTCATATAGAACCATAGATACGCTTCCGATTGAAACTTAAATAATCATTCTGTGCACAAATAACGATACAAGTTAATCAGTATGATTTATTGAGATTCTATTTTAATAGGGCTGATAAGACAAAAGATCAAAAGGAAAAACAAAAGTTGATATTCTTCTGACGGATCAAAGATAACAACGACTACTGAATCAGTATTAATTGGGGAAATTATAGACAGAGAAAAACAGAAAACAGATACAAACAAAAGGGTTTAATCCTCCGAAGCAATAGTGTCAGTAGATGACACGAACACTAATCCGAGAAAATCTCTCTTAGCTAAAATAGATACCGTATGCAATTAAAAGAAACTCGAAGTATTAATTGTGCAGTGAATTATATTCAAGTAATGCATTTACTAATAGCATTGATCATCTAGTCAAAGGTTATCATAATACGAAGTTCTATACAAAATAAAACAAAACAGCTTTCTTCTGCATCAATCTTTCTTGGCCATGTACTACAAATGAAGAATAATAGTTTTGATTGTATCGATGTTCTTCGTATGGCGTTTATCAAATGCTCATTTCTATTAATGGCAATATGGTAACTTTTAATGATTACAAGGATTGTCGCGCGACTCCTTCTGAATGCGCCTCGCCCTAGACATTCTTATAAATTTCTTTTCTTTTACCATTTGATACTTCTTTGTTCGATCGACTACAGAGACAATAGGAATACATCTGTTGGACTCTAATCACTATCAAACAGAAATTCTATATCGATAATTGACAGGATCTATTTTGTTTCTAAATGGACAACTCATAGATCAAATACACGTCCCCTTTCTTCTTCTTTTTTTGTTCATTGTTAATTGTATTCAATATATTGCCTCGTGACGTAATACCAATAGATTTTCTTCCATTGCAATCGAATGACTGTATTGCACACACACGCCACACATATCCCCGTGGGCTAATAATGTCATTGTGGCGCACAACCATTGATCGTTGAAGCATATATCGACGTAGTTTCTTGATCGAGTTCCAAGTAAATGCCGACCACAGTGTTCAATTGAGCATTTTCTTCCATTAATCGTTTGATAGATCTAACATATTACGTATTTTGAATTGAATAAAATTCATTCATATCTCAACGTTCAAATAGAAAATAAATTGAACGTCACTTTTACATTTGAATAAAAAAATACTTTTAAACTTTGAATATCTAATGAACTTCTGATTATGAAATGGCTACAACTACAAAAGATGATTTCTTTTTCTTTTTCTTATCTATTTATGTTTTCTATTCACATCATTGACAGAGATGTAATTACGAGAATATGAATAAAAAAGAAAATATACATAGAGAGAGAGAGAGAGAGAATAAAAGGATGCTCTTCCGTTTCTCACCCCTACTGGCATTGGTATATACACACATCTGCTTACTGATTTCGCTCATAGAGCTTTATCGAGTGCTGAGTGTGTCGGTCAGCAGAAAGAATTTGTAATGAGGCTGACCAATCGAGAAAAAAGGCGAGCATTGTTCATCAACATCTCCCTCCTATTCTTTTTCTCTGCCCACCCTCGTTTTCCTCTTGACGTATGAAGAGAGAAGAGGAAAATCTCGCCGTCATCATTGTCGTCGACGAGACGTGTGCGCGTACGCAAACTGAACGAGAGAGCGAGAGGGAGTTTATACTAGAAGCGTGTGATAGAAGAGAAGAGAAAAAATACGGATGATGGTAGTTTAAGAAGAGACATAGAACAAGAGAAGGACCAACTGACGTGTGTAGAGAACATCCATTACTTCTTTCTCTGACAACAAATACAACGAACAAACAGCTATTTGCATCCATAGATTTAGGTAGAAAAAATTGAAAAACAACAATAGCAATCGTTCTCTTCTGACCGATTATGACATCGTCTTCTTTTACGACGCATGCTATCTGTTGAACAAATATATTCAACTGATCTATTGATATAGACAAAGCTATGGCACACCAATATCAACTTTAATCCGTATACTCGTAATCAGCAATCATCAATTATCAACGTTATTCTCTACTCATATCTTGACGATTCACACATATTGAACACACCTTTATATGAAATGATATAAGATTAATTTGAAAAAGAAAAGAATGAATATTATTGAAAATGCTGAAAAAGAATGTGCCGTACTTGGCTCATTATTTCAAGGAATCGTTAATGAAATGAAGGTTAGTATTAATCTATTATAATATTCAATTGTTGCTTATTAGTCAAAAGAATATGTAACAAAAAAGGAAAAATATAACATCTGCTTGGTAAAAATAGCATCTCAATACAAAGACCTTTCAATATCAAGGTTTTCATCATAGAAGACATCAATTGTAATTCATAAAGGACACACATAGATCATTTTACTTCGTTGAATAAAATAATGGGCATTATATTATATTCTTTGCATTACGTTTTAGAATAGTTCAACACTATGGGAAGATTTAGCATCAAAGGCAAACAAAATGCATTTTCAACTGAAGTAAGTCTAATAGAATTATGTTTTATCAACCTTGAAAATTCATATTGAACTTGAGAAAAAGAATGAACCGTCCGTTATATTTGCATGATCCAATCAGTAGGGAAAGCATTTGACAAGAAATAATGTTTTGACTATAGTCATAACTGATTTTCTTTTATGTCTATCATAAACTTAACATCTTTTGCGATGATAAGTATGGATCGATAATTGAATGATACACATGCACGCAAACCAAGTTATACTTGTTGCAGAGAAAAGAGTCAGTTTGTTTCAGCTGTCACAATAATTTCTTTTATAGTCATTAGTACTTGAATGGTTACTGATGTTCAATTGTAAATAGACTAGTAGGCTAGACATTCATTAGTTTACATGAATGAAATAAAAGAAAAGAAAGAGTGAATATACGAACTGTACAAGGTACGTATATACCTTACAGCTTAACTGATACACTGCATAGACGAAAAAAAGTGGCTCTATGTAAAATAAGTTCTTTTGATATTTACAAACTGATCCTGTTCAGTTTATTTTATTTTGTTTCTTTGTAAATGTCAATAGGGATTTTAGTTTTAATTGTTTACAATTTATGACTCGATAAATTTAATTTAATCGTTGATCTATATACATTTATCATTTACTATAATTACTATTGTCTTTTATCACCTAGATCAACAATTATCACATTCGGCCTTTTTCTTGATGCATTTCAACGTATTGCTGATTTAGCAACCAATACAAAAGGTGCAACCAAAGATATTGGTACAGCCTTGACGCGTTTAATTCTACGTCATAAATCTATTGAACAAAAATTAAAATTCTTTACCAATTCGCTAGTCGAAACTTTTATTCAACCATTAAATGAATATATTGAAGAATGGAAGAAATCTGCAAACACATTGGATAAAGATCATGCCAAAGGTCTCAAAGGTATACATAATTTGTTTTCTTGACTTTTTTTCTTATGATTACTTTTCTTTCTCATCTTCGCTAGACTACAAAAAATTACGTAATGAACTACGTAAAAAAGCTTCAGAAACTATTAAATTACAAAAGAAATGTAAAAAATGTACGTCTATACGATTAATAAAATAAATCATGATTTAGCTTATTTCTTGTTATTTTTATTTTCAAGTGCCGAAACATGATACTCTACATAGTAAATTAAATTCAGCAATACAAGAAGTATCAAATTATTATGGAATGTTAGAAGAACGTGAAAAACAAGCACTTAGATCAGCTATGATTGAAGAGCGTAGTCATTTTTGTACATTATTTACTTTATTAAAACCAGCTATGGTAAGTTTTGTTTTTTTAAAAATCTTCAATGGTTTCAAAAATGCAACAAACTGTTGTTTTCTTGATAGGAATTTGAAATTTCACTTGGATCCGACATGAGTCATATCGAAGATCTTGTACAATGTCTAAATAAACAAACAAATGACCCACATTGTTTACCATCATCGAGCGAACAATTTATTAAAGACATAAAAGGAATTGATTACAGTACTATTGTTGCATTTAAGGTATGTTTATATGACTTAGACATGTACAGATTAATCTTGTTTCGTGTTCGATACCTTGACTCTATAAAATTCCTTAATCCCGAGTAGAAATTATCGGATTCAAAATTTTCTGATTAAAGAAACTCAGCCAATACGTTCTATCTCTCTGCATACATGTTTTTCTCTTCATATGAATTAATTATTAATATGTTAAATGTAGACTCCGCCTTCATCGCCCGGCTCATTAAGTTCACGTAAATCAAGTGTTTGTTCAATAAATAGTATCAGTAGTTCATCGTCAAATTCAACAAGTAATTCAAGAAATTCAAATCATAAACAAGGTTCATTAAAACAACATCCATCTCAACTACCTATACCAATACAAAATCAATTCTATCATTCAAATGCAAATCGAGCATCATCAATGCCTGTATGAAAGAACGAAAAATGTTTTCTAGAATAAGTATTTTGTTTTCTTTGTAAATATTTAGTTAAATGTAGCTGTCAGTCGTATATCAAGTATCTCATCACAAGACTCAGGTTTTACATCACAAGAACAGTTTTTTGCTCGACCTCCATCACCTTTAGAAGAGTCAGAAGTAATTAGCAAAGCAAAAAAAATATTTTCTTTCAATAATTCAAAATTTTGAAAATCTAGCGTGAAGCTGATGGTAGTACAAGTCCATTGTTAGTAGTTAGTTCTACATTGAATGCTTGGGCAAAACGACCAGAAATTTCATCAAATGCTAAACAACCAGCAACAGTAACTGGTGCACCAGAACCGACAAAAAATTGTCGGCCAGCCATAACAGCACATACATTTGATCCTCCGCCACCTAGTTTATTTGAAAAACCAACTTGGCAAATAAATGAAGATACAAATTCAAGAATATCAAATGTTTGTATTTTAATTTCTTTTGGTTAGAGTAGAAATCGAAAAGTAAATTTTTATTGATAATAGATCTCCGATGATACTATATTATCCCGTCAGCATTCAGTACCGTCGCGTCGTTATCGAATACGTGATCTGAGTCTTGAACGAAATTTACCAATGAAAGAACAATCAATCACAAATAATATTACTAATGGGCGAGTTAAACCAATTCAATCGCCAACTGTACCACAAGAATATTATGGAAATTATATCGAACAGCACAATTCAGGTAATAAAGAATACTATATAATCAATCTTACGCAAACTAAACAATTCTCTGTCAGCGAATGTACTTTATGTTGAGAAAAAATAAATAACATTATTTATTGTACAGTACGATGGAGTAAACGTCTAATACGCGATATTAGTCAATTGTTATATGATCAGTCAAGGTTACCGTATTTATGATAGGACATATGAATAATAAGAGTTGTGCTTTTCCGAAGGTTGTAGTTATAACATCTGTAGATTATAGTAATCTTAATAACTATTTTTTTTCTCTTTAAGTGATAAAAAATGAGATCTTCATAATACAGAAAAAAAGCAGAATTTCATGAGCGTATGCTCATGTATACGTAATCTACGGAACAGCCACGGACAATGTGTTCTCCAGATTCTTATCCTTTCCAAGCAGAATTTCGAACTTCGAGAAGGTCACAGTCTATTTTTGGGGAATAAAGACACACAGTACACACCATAACCTCAACATTAGGGTGCACGAACTCAAGTTTTCGAGAGACATTGTCATATTTGAAATACTATCAACGAATTCTACTCAATGCTATGTACCTTGAGGGTCCTAACCTCAAGAACAGTTGTGCTATTATCATCGGTCAATCAATGAGTTTTACTATTCTTGAAATATATTCCAATAGACACTTATATGCTGTGTGCAATGTTCAGCGGAGTATTTTGATGACAATCAACTATATGTACATCGACTAGAAGTAATCACATAGCGAACATTGCTTCATTCTCATTCAATATGAACACTTTTCTTACTATTAAATTACTTAGTTTTCTAGTAGAGCATAAAAAAATCTATCAGCAAACTCTCGATGGAATTAAAGTGTAAAGCATGATATAACCAACAGCTTTTACTATACACAAAAGGATTTCAGTTTATCCCTTGCGATTTGTCAGCTACTATGTTACGTGATGAAGAGACCATGTTAATCAAAATGTAGTAAAGCATATGCTTATGTAAACGGCAGCCAGATTAAACTTCCTATCATTTAGCGGAACAAACGGGAATATCTATCCGACTGCAATCTAGAACAGGCCATATTTAATTGGCAACCATGTAAACTTCTTTGTTTATTATTTTAGAAAATATCAATCAATCGATTCGAAATGGTTCATTACCATTGGAAACAATCGTAAGAAATATTATTTATTTTTAAATCTAAATAATCGATTTAAAAACAAAAAATAGATACCGGATACACGAGCAATCAAATGGCGTGATGGTGTACGTCCGAATGGTAATGGTATGTCTAATGGTCGGCCATCATTTGAGTCTGCTGATGAAACACTCGATGAAAGTTAGTTGATTATGTTTTTATTGTGCAGATTTTCAAGAAAATCTTTTTTCTTTTAGTGTATGAATATTTAACGAAAAGTAAGTCGATTTGATAAGAAATATTTAGTATAAAGAAAAGTCTTTTCCTAGGTATTCATTCATCAAATCAGCAACAAACACTTCGCCGTGGCATGTCAATAGCGTTGACCCATAGTGAAAAGCCTGCACCACCAGTGCGTCGTACACCTTCAATAAATACAAATATTCAATATACAAATAATAACTACACTAAAACCCGTTTGAAATGTGTTCAAGAAACGACTCAATCAACTATTCATGATGATTTTCCTCCGCCACCAGAATTTCTTCTGTCTAATGATAATAAACCAGAAACACAATCATCATCATCATCCACAGCAACTCATTCAACTTTACTTGCTGAAATTCAACGCGGTGGTTTTAAATTACGTAAAACGGCCATAGAACGAGATAGATCATCTCCACGTATAAAATAAATAAACGTTGTTTTCTTTTGTTGTTCTTTGTTTTAATTTCTCAGGAATGATTTCGTGCAGATGACCAACCTTATTTATATTTAGTCTTGACGATGACCATAACAGATTTCTTATCTTTCTTTCTTTCGTCTTTTGTATATAACATATATAATCAAATTTATTCATGTATTATTCTTTGTGAAATTTTGTTTTTTGTTGTTGTCGTCTGTTTTTTTTTCAAAGACAAGCATCATATTCATACGGTATAGCGCGATTCTTTTTTTTAAATAATATCGATGGGAAAACAAAACAGCTGTATATGTGTGGGACGAATAAGATATAGAGAGAAAAAAAGTACGCTTACAAATCAATTTTACTTTATTTTTACAAAAAAACCTTGTCGAAAATGAAGTTTTCTGGTAATCAAAAGCATATTTTTTTCCTCGGTACTAAATATTTTGAAAATGGTTTTATTTTAACTAGTTATTCACTCGTCATTGATCGTAGCAGCTATTTTATCTGCTGGTTCATCAGTTCAAGTTGCTGCATTGGATTCAGCAAAGCATTTGGCTAAAAAGGTGAAGAGAAATTTAATACACCGGTTTAACTAGTATTATTGCGATATTGTAGCTTTCAGGATTTACTTTTCTATAGTTTAGCTAAGAGACTAGTCCCGATCGATCTGTCGAAATGAATCCACACTCGTTTTTCAGTTCGGTTATATCGGTAAGACTAATGAAAACACAGGAAGAATCAATTTTGATATTATAAATGAAATCTTATTGGAACTTTTTATAATCAAAATTGAATCCGTGAAAAACATTGATACCTCTAAGAATAATATTAGTTTAATTTATACGCCTATAGCAATCCGATACATCTCTCAAGGAAATATAGCTATTAAAATAGTCAACTGTTCTTCTCAGTGTGTTGCATGATAGCAACCTTCTGACTTGATTTATTTTTCAAAAGTTTAATATAGCTCATTTATTATTTAATAGAGCAATGAACCACAAAGTCGTATTGAACCCGTAACAACCTCCCTTGTAAGTACTTAAATTTCTTAATTTTATGTCTATTGATTTACTGTTTTGATAATAAAAAATAGCTTGTGTCTGCTGCGCTTCCCATGGTTCTCAATCTATTCACTGGTCTTTTGGGCAATCTTTTAAGCAAACCAAATGATATCGAAAACGTTTGTATCAACAATAAATCGAAAACGGAATCTCGAAAAATTTAATTTATGATTTTTCTAGCGTGTTGTCTATGGTCGACCAATGCAACTCAAATTATGTGGTTCTGAAAATTGTATTCAATTATTGGACAAAGGCTCAGGTATAACAACAGTCGGTAAAGGTGGTTCAATGCAAGAAGCTTTGGGTGATGCTAGCGGTGCTATGTTAACCTCATTATTGGAAAGAAGATTATTGAGCATGCACGATTTATGTCGTGAACATATTCATTTTCCTCATCCAGATAAAGAAAATTGTGCAAATGTAGAAATCAATACATGTGAACTTAGCAAACCAGTTGTGCCTTCACGTAAATACTAATCGAAATCAAATAAAACAAAAAAATTATGATTTCATTTCTCTAGGTCCATGCGTAGATACACATGGCGCTACCTACTGTTCAAAGATGAAAATACATTGTGACGATCATTTATACGGGCCACATATGATGGATGCTTGCTATAAAACATGCACGTAAGTTGAAAAAAAGCACCATTGAATAGACTTGAATATATTCAAAATATGGCTTTCTGCTTTTAGAAATGGCTGTCCACAGCCGCAACTTGGTCCATGTGATTACTAAATATAAAAGTTAAAGAAGAGATAATGGCTACTTGATTTTTTTTCTAAAGAAATAAAAGAAATGGTCATTGATAAAGAAAAAGGTTACACAAATTTTCTTCTATAAGAATTCATGGCACAAACCAGATTTAGAAAATAAAATGCAAAAAATATTATTTTGTTCTAAGCGACTGGATTTTTATTAGAATTGATTTCCATTAATTCTTCACCAGCACCAGGGTCGCCTTTGATTTGTTCATCGTACACATCATTACGTGCCCATGGTTCAGTTTCACCAAGAGCTAAGAGTGAAAAAACAATAGCTGATATAAGAAACGATGCAGCATACAGCATAAATGCTATTCTCCATTGAGCTGCTGTTTTCTAAAAAAAAAAATATATATATTTCAAAGAAATATCAATGATATATACGAACCTGTTTCGTGATGACACTTGTTAAAAATGGAGCACAAAAGCCACTAATACTTGCTAAAATAAAAAGAACGATTAGTTATGCCGTGACTACACTCAGATAAAGAATCTAAACAGTGTTTTGAATAACGGAGAACAAAATCCGCAGAGTAATCTCGAAAATCTTCAAGCTAGCTTCTCAGAACTTAGGATTTAAAATGAAAAGTTCTTCGATAAATTCCATAAGCATTACACAGGATACTAGAAAAATTGATTATCTAGAAAATGAAATGTCATAGAAAGCTCACAAACATATCATTATCTAAAATATTAATTCCTCAATTGTCGTCTACTGAAAATCTATGTGGCAGTTTTTCTGAACAACCTAGATTTTTAGGACGCAATGAAAAATATCAAACTTAAATCAATACAAAATAATTTGATGGTTTGCTGTAAATAAGAATCTCTCTATACCTATTGTATTACAAAGTCCAAACATAACTCCCGAATGAACGCCACTGAAGTCTACAACGTTAACCATGCAACCGCCTGACATAATCAGACCACTAAACAAATTTTTGCTCTTTTAAATGAAGTTTTCTATGATGTTATATTTACTTAAATGCTACTCCAACGATTAATAAACAAACTGCTAAATAACGATGTTGGCAATCAAGAAATGATATTAATAGAAGACAAATGGCTGGTGCTAATGTGCCAACACCATGAAATAATTTTCGTGCATTAACACGTTTTAAATAGTTCGCTTTAATTAGATGATCTGCTAAACCGCCTGTAGAGATAACAACGAGGAAACTGGCAATATGTGGTAAAGCTGAAAGAAGACCATTTTGTTCAATACTAAAGAATAAAACTTCATTCATATATTCCGGAACAACGGTCCAAATAGCTATAAAAATGGAATCAAAATTAACAATTGGCAGCAGAAAAATATACAAACCGTAAAGACCAAAATCAGAAAAAAACATGGTTATAAGAATACACCAAAATCCTTGAGATTTAAGCATTGGTACCCATGGTATTTTCTAATATAAAGAAAACATAAAATGGAAAACTGTAGAAAATTAACTCTTACAGTATTTGTATCTTGAAGTTTTTCTACCGCTTTACACACCCGAATATATTCTTTTTCATTTGCTGATATATGTTTATTTTTTGCGGGTGTGTCACTTGCAAAAAAGAGCCAAACAAATGACCAAACAATACCAAGGCCACCTATATATGAATAATATTTTCATTACAAAGTTTTTGAGAACTGCTGTTAGCGATGAGGCATGAAGACAATATAAGATCAAATTTTTATTTTAGAAGTTCACCATCACTGTTTTGCTCTCTCGTCTAGTCTAATCTCGTGTCAAATCGTCTGATGATCCAGATATTTAGTCATGACAACTGAAAACGAAGATTCAAAATATTTGACTACATGATTAGTAGCGATCACAGAGAGATGAAAACGTACTTTTTAAATTCATCTATAATCTATTTCATGTCAGATGAAGATGTATAAATTATGATTATGCGTGATTTTTCTAACTACATCAAGAATTTTAGGTAATCGCTGAATTGACGTAAGAAGAAACTGCTCATAGTTTAATGCAAATTCAAAATGAAATACGAACAAGAAAAACAAGGCGGATTTCAACAGCAATTAAAAACATGGCATAACAGATAAATACTATCTTAAGTGTTTTTAAGAATATACTAGTAAAATAATTCTCAAATAGACGATCAGGAATTAAAGCGTTTCTCTCAGTACTTTGACTAGATTACTAATAGTATTCGTGAAATAAAACTGATGTTTTACCAAGAAGATAGAAAAAATATGTCCAGCCATAACGAAATGGAAATAGTATAGAATCATTTAATGAAAAAGTACAAAACAGACCACCCATAATCAATGAAATAATGGTACCCATTGAAGGTCCTAAAACAATTTTCTTTATAAATATTCGAATAAAATTTAAAAAAGCAATTAACCCGAGTTTGGTATTGAAAGAAGCGTTGTTCGTTCAGTTGCTGGTGCCCATGTTGACCAAAAACGAAAATTAGCTGGCCAAAGACCACCCTTATTTGAATAACAAGCAAGTACAAATTTTCGAATATCTGATTAAATTCATCAAAGAAAGTCAATTGCTCTCTTTTTACCTGAGCTGCACCTGCAATAACGCGTAAAACGACAACACCTGATGGATGAAATTTCGATAGAATGGGTATCATTAGTGTCGACAGTGACGAGATAAATATAACTAAAGCAAGAAATCGTTGCGGACCCATTTTATTGACAATCACCGATGAAACGACTTGTGTTAATGCATAGCCCCAATAGAATGAGCCAAGAATAACACCACGAGTTCCTTTTGGCCAAAACAAAACTTGGCTTGGCTATTAAATATAAAAATATGTACATAGCAAAAGAAAAATAATTATAAAACAATGAATTCATACAGATCGACTTTTAGCTATTGTATGACTATGGCATGATACCGGTATATTTCTTTGAATAGCTACAGAATCATCAGCATGTGTTGTTGTATTATCTGCATCTGGATCAACCATACAAACGATACTCACACTACGATAAGATTAATAAAACAAGAGTTTATAAACATATTAATGTTTGCATACGAAAATCCATTGCGTTGAGCGTAACATAGAAGAAATCCGAAACATGCCAGGATTGCCAAAAGTAACCGATGTGAACAAACAAGTGGCGCTGCTATTAAAGGTATAAATTAATAGATATATTTTTTGTTCGAAAGAAGATATTATACATTTCAGTTCAGATACAGCGTTGGTTGTAGATATTTTACTTTTGGTCATGATATGATTTTATGCTAAAAAAATAGAAAAATGATTATCAAAAACTTTTCTACTAAATTTATGAACAGTCCGCGGTAGAGAGGACTAATTTAACATCGATATCAACTTTTCTTCGGTCAATCAAATTCGTTATGTTTGGCGTTAAAGGTCACTTCTATGAAAATAAGTATGTCAAACTATTTTACACATTTTATCTTATCCGTTCATCGCTAACGAAACACAAACTAATCATTCATTTGCTCTTCCAAGTAACTATTCATGTGTGAAATTATATTTCATATCCTACGCACAAAAGCTATATGTAATTAATTATTAAAGAGAATCTCAGACGAATAGCCGATGAGCAGATATGCCTGATATGGGCATTTTGTAGACTAATAAACTTTTCTACTTGCTGATTTATTGTAAAACAGAAAAGACGTTAATGAGAACGAACCGTAAAAAAACCACGAAGGTTAATATAACCTTAACCTAGTGAATATTATGTAAATATGATCAATATAATGGACATCGATTACTTACTATGAAGTAAAAAAAACGAAGAATGATATATCGTATTGTATTTTGGTTTAGATATTTCTACTGGCATCAATAAAAATAATTTTTTTTCATAAAGAACTACCGAAAAACAAAATTTCTCACCAGTCTACAGATAACATTAACGCGTAGTATGACAAATTAAAATAAGAGAACCCTATCAATCTTGTATTGAATGATGATTATACGTGTTACAGCCTGCGCAATGTTTATTGTAAGGGTGTAGGTAGAGAAACCTCAACGAATCGGCAGAGTGTGGGGGTTCGATCTAGCGCTTAGAATAAAAATAATGCAAAGTTATGTTTGCTTCGGTTACAATTTATGAGACAGGTTTTTATTATAAACTGTGTAATGCTTTTATCTATGAATTATCAAAATGAGCAACTTCGTGTGTTCTTTTCGTGTACTTGGATATATATATATGACAGATAGAGCAGTCATTATAGATAAAAGAGCGAACACTGTGACTCATTCATGATTACGCATGTATATTTTTCTTGGAAACAGAGATGTTTGTTTAGTATTGAAATAATAAGTCAATGTTGAAGTTTAGCGGAATTGTAAAAAATGGAAACAATTTTATCAAGTGATATGTAAATCATTGAAACATTTTGTTCTTGTTTCTATTGATTCTTTTAAGTTTCGAAATCTTATGTTTAACATCAACTTGCTTTCGGTTTTTGTTGTAGTACGTAACTTGATGAATATTTTTCGGGAAAAGATCTTCGACAGACAATTCAATTCTGTGTAAAGTGTCCTGTTGGAAATTTTTATACGCTCATTTATCAACGGACTCATGTTGTGTATATCACCACAGATGAGAATTTCAATAACTCACATGCAAAGGAGTTTTTTCGAAGTTTATACTGGCCCAGTTTTGAAATCTAACGATGTTGAATACTGCAGAGCAGACAATTAAGTTATTTCCTAAAACTTTTAATTTTTTACTGAAAAGCGATAAAATAAAATTATAAAAACAATTTACTTTTTTCGTCTATGCTCAATTTAGTTGAAATTGTTCTAAGTGTCTAGAAGGTAAGTGATTACAAGTCTTGAGATAAGCACAAAAGAAAAGAAAAAGACAAATAAACGCAATGAAGAAATAGAATGGATGCAATAGTTCCTATAGAGGATAAAAGGTGACAGGTCCCTATATCTTTTTTATACCAGTGAACTTGTCTGATTTCTAGTAAATATTGATACGGAAGGAATTTACTGCTCCAAGAGAGTTTATTGGCAACTATTTTGCGATATTATGAAGGTTTAGACTTAGATCTATGAACCTCGATTCGCTGGAAAGAAAATGACCAACATCGTAATCAATCATTTTATCCTAATTATTTCATGAAAAACTCTCTGCTAAAAATAATAATAGGTCTACATTATTCAATTTATTTAATATGTAGTGGATTCGTAATTATTTTTTCTCAACGTTTCTTGCTAAATATGGAGAAAGAGAGAAAAACTCAGCTAACATGTCAAATAAAAAAATCGATTTTCTCGTATTATTATCGTCGAAATGGAGATCGCTGAATGTCACTGAATTCGATATGCATCAGAGAGACAGTTGCACCGTTATTCTGATGTTCAATTAAACTATCATTCAACCGAATTGGTATGCAAACCACGAAGTAATCGGACTTATTACACCTCTACTTTGGATTATCGGTCGGTGGTTTTAAGTTTCATTTAGACTCTCATCCTTTGCGTTCATGCTTCCTGAATATTTGTCATATAGTATCATAGATGTCCATCGCGGGTGAAAATCTGCCGCTGCCGCGCCACACCGCGATGGCTGAAAAAATAATTTGCCGTTGTCGCCCGCTACCACGATGAGACTTTGAAAAAGGTACCGCTAACGCTGCGGCGGCAGCGCCGCCATGGACATCTATGTATGTATAGTATACCAGAGACATTATTGGTTGCTTCGTTCATCGACATGAAAATCATCGAAAAAGCAAAGAATATTGCAATAACATATATTTTTTGTGTAGTATTTCATAGGTTTCTTTTTTTTAACAAATGAATTCCGTTCGTTTATTCTAAATAATAGAAATATGAGTCGGCATTCGACTAAATAAAAACATAATATGCTGAAAGAATTGAGTTAATCTATAATAATAAAATCAAGAAAAAAAGGAAGAAAGACGAAGAAGCATGTCTCTATATTCATTGTGGCTCCAAGAATAGATCGATTGAACAATTAATAAAATCTTGGTTGTGTTGAGCCGGATCGAATGAAAATGATTTTATGTCGTCATTGATATTTTGATTTTCCATTGAATGACGTTGTTTATGGTGGGCATATAGTTGATTTTGATGAAGAAAGCCCTTTCGGCATACTTCGCACCTAGAAACAGTTTGCTTCTTATTAAACTGCATAGTTTTCAAAACAAATCATTACCGGAATGGATATTGATGTGAATGTCGTACAATATCATGATCACGTAAATGTTCTGGCCGAACAAATGTTTTCACGCATGTATGACATTTAAATAGTCCACCAGATGCACTATGTTTTGCTGCATGTTGCTTTAATTTATCTTTTCTAAAAGAAGTAAAATTTATTTTTCTTGAAAGTTAGTAATTTAAATAAAGTTCACCGAGCGAACGCTTGCTCGCAACCATCTTGTTCGCATTTAAATGGTTTTACATCCGAGTGTTTGGTAACATTATGTCGATTTAAATGAAATGTTGTTTTAAATGTTAATTTACAAGTTGAACAACTTTTTTGCTTCGGTAAATCTTCATTATGTTGTGTTACGACATGTTTTGATAATTCATTTCGTTTTTGAAATGATTCAATGCATACTGTGCAACGGTAAAGTGCAAGATCGGAATGTTTTGCTATATGATTATGATAGGAATTATTCGATTCGAATTCAGCCGGACATAGTTGACAAATAAATTTATGTGTTTCATTATGCATATGATATTGTAATTGTTCAGATGTTTGAAAAGAGTTTTTACATAGTCGACAGCGGTATATACGCTTGCGATGACGATGATAAATATTACTGCGTGATGATCGTCGAGCACCAATATGCCGTTTTTGACTATGAATACGAGCATGAAGAATATAATCAACAGGTTTGTCGAATAGTTGAGAGCAAGCTTCATTTAAACAGCGAAATACAGGGTTAAGACAATGAACTGATAAAATAAAGGAAAACATTATTGAAGAAGAAATTCTAACAGAAAGTTTTTAAAAAAGAGTAGAATACACAGTAATCGCAATTTCTTTCTTTGTGACGTCCATTTACACTATTTCGCTGTTCTTTTATAAACTGTAGCTAGTATATTTTGTAGGATTCGTATCGGATTATTAAATATGTCATTAGACAATCTTGCACTTTCTTCCTCGCCAACATGCCATCAAACATATAGGAGAATGTTACAGTAACGTTTCAAATTTTCCTCTACCGCTATCACTAGAAACTTTAGTTTATTTATTGATAACTGACATCTGTCATAAGTATTTCACATGAATATTTATTTTAATTGTTATAAATGTGATTGCAGAGTTTTCTGAATAGAATTATATTCAAGGTAGATTTTAAAATTAGGATCTTGTGGAAGTATACGTTCAATTTTTAACTTAGTCGAGGTCGATGCGTGAGACATCTACATTACATGTGTATAACACGGTGAAGTAATACAATCGAAAACTGTATGAAGTAACATGACAAATGCAATCATCCTCCTAGATTAGTTTTCTATAAAGTTAACTAAGCATAAAACAAATATCATGTCTTTTGTCAATAGATCAATATTTTCTATGCTTGAAATATCAGGGTCTTTTTTACGATTTTTCATTCATCGATTGGTTATTGCATGGTGTTTTGACATAAAGGCTTTTCTATCATGATAAAGTAATTATAATAAAAACGTTCTGTATTCGGAAATCATAATCTTCCATTAAGATTAAATAATTCTTAGATTGTTGTAAATTTGTATAGACATAATAAACTACAAAAAGAAAAATCTTGAAATCTTACTCATTTTTTTATGTATATTCAATGATGCATTTGAACTGAATGTGACGGTACATTGTTTGCATTCCAAAGGCACGGTTGATTGCTCATCAATAAGATCAGTATAACTCGATGATGAATCGTCAAAAGGTAAACCGGCTTTAGAATTCGTATTTTCATCGTCATCTATCCAAGTCGAGTGTTCAAAAACATGATTTTCTAATACTGTTGGTGCGTCAAATTGTTCATCGCATACTGGACATTCCAATAGACTCAATTGAGACATACTGTTTTCAATACACGAACTATCTGTCACATCGGAAATATTGGTTTTTACTATTTCATTATTAACAGCAACCTGTCCAACAGGTTCAGAAAATAATAAATCAAAATCGTTTGTTGTTGAAACTTCTGTATTCAAAGGTTGATAGAATAAATTTGGTGTTGATGCAATAGTTAGTGAAACATCTTCAATGATAGCGGCTAGTTCTCTTTCAAGTAATGTTGATGATGGGCTATTTGATAATGAAAATAGATTCGCTGATTGTTGACCATTACAAATAGATCGGTGAGTTAGAAAATGATTTAAATCAGTAAAATTCGCATGACATTTACCACAAATAAAGAGATCTTCTGTATTATCAGTGACTAAATTCAATCATGAATTTGTTTAAAAAAAATAGCGTGATGTCTTTCTACTCACTCATATTTGAATCATAACTCAAACGAATTGACTGTTAGCTTTTATTGATCCGTGGGCTGCTGAATGATGACTAAGCACTCGTTTCTAATACTTGGATGATTCAACACACTTATGCATTGTGTAATACACACGCTTTCTGCATATTAAATCGAATTTTAATATAATGCATTTTCAATTTTATGATGAGAAAAAATACACATATTGGGTGAATCGTTTTTTTTGTATAAAAGACATCATGCTTGAGGTTACACCAATCGCAACGTGCTTTGAAGAAGCATCGGCGGGCCAGCGTCTTTTTTTAGGTGTGGCAACATTTTTAAAGTATCTGAGGTGTATATAGCATGAAATTCCGTTGAATTTGTTTGTACTTGTTCACTTATTCAAAGAAACATCCATTGTTTCAATTTTACGAATTTCTTTGTCGTCGTCAGTGTGGTGCCTAGACATGAGCGGGACCAATCTTTTCTGGTCCCGGTCCTGGTCCAGGTGTCAGTCCCAGTTAAAAAATAAAAATTAGTCTCGGTCCCGATCTTAGTCTCGGCGGGATCGGGACCAGGACCATGTTGACCATGTCTACTTTTAACACAAATTTTACACAATTAAAAAAGATATCACTTCAATTAAAGCATGGCGGTTTTGATTTTCGAGCCGGCCCGGATCAGAAACAAATTCTGGTCCCGGTCCCGATCAAAAAAAGGGGTCTCGGTCCCGGCCTGAAGAAAAAAGTTGGTTCCGGTCTCGATCCTAGTCCCGGAGAGACCGGGACCATGTTGCTCATATCTAGTGGTGCCGTTATACTGAGAGAGAGAGAGAGCGAGAGAGAGAGAATGAGAGATAAACCGAACAGAAAAAAAACATATAGTGCATAATCAGTCCGCTTAATTGTGACGTTCACTATTATTGAAAAAAGAACATTCTCTAGTTCTATTCTCTTTCTCAGCTATGGGAATAAGCATTATAAATCATATCATAAAGTCCATCATTCTGAAAATGACTATGAGGTTTGTTGTGATACAATAAAAAGTTCTTCAAAAATTACAACTGATGAAAACTTTTAGGTGTGGCAACTGCCACACCTTGCCACTGTGGTGGCCCGCCGATGCCTAAACCCGAAAAATATCTATTGAGAAAAAAGCATCAGTATAAAACTAAGAATTAGATGAACGATACCAAATATAGCCAACACAAAAGAAGAAAAAAGAAGAAAAAAATAAAACACGTATCTGGCTGTACCCTATGGATCTTTGCCAACGTTAACAAAATGATACCAGATATTCCACCCCAACACTTAATGCTGTTAACATCCCAAACAACTTGTCTGCCCACTCGAACAGTCCAGGAAATCGCATTCCACCGAATACGGTAATCAGTAGTCCAAAAAATGACACAGTCGTTGGCAAATAGGGTTTTCCAAATAAAATGCTTCCTGCAAACCATGTAGATGTATTGAGTGCGACATAGAGAGGTAGTCCATTATAGTTTGTCTTGGCATAATAATCATTAATGTTTTTGAAATCTCGAATATGAGATATTAGAGCAATTGAACCAAGACAAATGAATCCTGAAAGCAGCCATATTGTTCCTCGTTCTGGTGTAGTGCTAGACAAATACAAAATATTTATGAAAATTGAGTTTGCACGGATGCTAATCTTGCAACAATAGCTTTTTGTGATGCGATAGACTTTTGTTTTGGTTGCTCAATTACATTTGCAGGCAAAAAATTAATGAGGGTTTAAAGTATTCTAAACTATTTCATATTTATATTTATGATTTTTGTTTTAGATCTACAACAATTTCAGTTCCACAGGTGAGCTAAAATTAACTTCTCTCATCAGCTGATTAAAATCACTTCGTCATTGTTACATAGCTATGGATCGAACTAAGATTTCATTCAACTATACATTGCATCTAGGAAGATTATTGCTGTTCATAGTCCATTCAAGTAAAGCATAGTTTAAGCTGGATCCTAAAAAATTCTTACTTAATATTTAAATTTGCATTTGTTGTCTGCGTTTCGGCATCTTTGCAGGTGCCACTTGGTTGCAATGAAGCACGGCGAGACATGCTAAAGTTTAAGAGTCTTAGATTATCTGTATGATTGAACAAATCATAAAAACATACTTTTGTTTTAACGATTTCAATTATGTTTTGCCTTTAATGAAAAAGATTCAATAGAGCGAGGAAAGTGAAGACTAGTTCAGTGATTTTTTTCTGGCTAGTCAGTTCGTATTCGTATGCATATGTTGTAGGCAAAATTAAAATCCAGTCAAATTTGAAATTTGACTAGGCAAAATTAGAATTAGAATTCTGCCTAGGCAAAATTCAAATTTCAATTTTGACTGATATATTTCCAGTCAAAATT